TTCGGAATTCACGTTCTATTTGCAGTAATGGCCTATTAACGTCGATCAAACTGAAACAGAGCAAGATATGTTTGATGACGTACTAGTAATGTTTATGGTTGCAGAGGACAAATGGCCAGAAGCACCATCATCGTCCTCTTCCGATGACAATTGGGCTGATTTTACGGCCATGAAACCGGATGATTGGCCACCGCCGCAATCACAGTCGGAAGATGCCTGGCAGGTGGATGATGGCGAAAACACAGTGCTTAGCCCTACGGCAGCAGCAGTAACTGGTGGAATTGTGTCAGTTATTATGGCTGGAGCAACATCCAACAAGTAAGCCGGTTTTTCAGATTATGAAACCCAGGCTGCAACACATTAGGATAGCCGGTGCGATCATGCGTTTTTGCGCTAAACTTGAAGATCCTGTTAACAGCAGGAATGTTCCATACGCTTCAGTTTAACAGTTTGACTGACATTGGCTGTGTCTTTTATCGCATGCCGGTGGAAAAAGGGCGTCGTCCAGGATGAAGATCTTGCATTGTGGGGCCCCATGGACCTTCAGCTACATGGTTATCAGTTTTTTACATGAAGGCCGATTGTTTGTCAGGCGATTGCTCGCTCATTGCAAAAATGCAAATTTAAAGGAAATCGAAAGAGGATTGTGAAACCCGCAAAATGCACTTGCTTTTAAGTTTGCGATAAAATTGAGTACTTGATATGTCTGTGCTCAGGGACTAAGACTACACGTGAATGTAGAATATCCTTGCAAAGTTTTACCTTAGCAATTTTTCTGGTTAGTGAAATAGTCATTTCGTTACAAATACTTTTGAAGTGCCCTAAGTCATGTTGCAAATGCAAATCGGAATTCAGTTTAGGTATGTGACTTTCCACAGCTACACGATTCATGTTAAAAGTCAAAGCTGTCCCAGGTATTCAACATTTCGGAGAGGAATTGGCACCCTGAGGAAGGCAGGTGTGTGTCGAGACCAAAACTTCCAAGGTTTTCGGATGGTTTCCTCTTCTGAGTAGGCTCACTTGCTATTGCCTGGAATGCTTTAGTAGCGCAGTTTACCCCGTAAATGAAGAGACAAATCGTAGAGGGATTAGTTGTTCCAGCAGCAGAGACGAATTTTTGATTTTCAACACAAAAGCAGCACTGTTTGCTACTGCACCATGCCTACCAACTGTTTTTCAGTTCAGTTAGGTTTGCTATTAGTTTGACTTGATTTTTAATTAAATTTTTTGACTAAATTAATTTTTGATTCATTTTTTGATTAAATTTTTGGTTTTAATAATTTATCATTTTTAATTGAATTTTTGACTTGTTTTTTGATTAGTCCGACTTGATTTTTAATTTTTTTTGGTTTCCAATTAAATTTTTTGACCAGTTAAATTTTTGAAGAAATTTGCTGTACAACCTAACCTGTGGTTAGTTCATTCCTTTATCCAATTATTGTAGTATTTATTTTTATAATAAAAAAAAGATTTTTGATCTCTTAGAGCAGAAAAATAATTTTTACTTTATTTCTTAATAAATTTTTTTGTCAAGCATCATACATTTTTGATAAATTTTTTTTAGAAGCGCGACACGCAAAACTTCGGATTCCTGAAATGGAAAAAGCATGGATTTGTGTGGGCAGGCAGGCAGGCGAATCAATTTTTGCATCATTCTGCCAACAACAGCAGATTTATCTGTAGGATATATAATTCATTCGTTGTAAAGACTTATTTGAGGAGAAGAAAAAAAACTCACAGTGCGATTTTTTCTTCTTTTTTTTGCTCCTTAAAATTTTTTTAACAGTATGATATGTGTGTGTGTGTTTGTCACCGATTTTGGTGCTAATTTTTATTGAGTTAGCTCTGAATCGTATTTTTCCAGCTTATACGTTCACGTGCTTTTTTGTCAAATTTAATGGCGAGCATATTGCACCGCCAAAATATGCATTGATATATGTTGCACTACTGTTTCCTCTTCTTTTTTTTTTTAGCCGAATCTTGTCATATTTTTTATTAAGCCGAGTAGCAGTTTGAGCCGAAGCGGAGCAGAGATCGTTACCGAACTTCTTACTCGAAGCATTTTTACCGCTTTTTTTTCAAGGGTCTATGAAAAGAGTTTGAAAGAATTTTGTTTGGGATTCATTTTTTTTGTGGAAAAAAACATTCGTATTTTTTTTTGTTTTTTTTTTGACAAAGAAATTAAATTAATGGATATATGTGCAAAAAATAAGAATGCCAAAAATTTGCCTCAATTTTTTCTTTTTTAATTTTTTTTTGGTGATCTTTAATCAATAATTCGTTTTTTTGCGGAAAAAACATTCATATTTTTTTGGGTTTTTTTTTGGGTTTTTTTAAACCAAAAAAATTAATGGATGTACATGCAAAAAAATTGGGATGCCAAAAATTTGCCACAATTTTTTCTCTTGTAATTTTTTTTTTTGAAGATCTTTAATCAATTCATTTTTTTTGCGGAAAAAAAACACTCATATTCATTTTTTTCGTTCTTTTTTTTGACAAAAAAGTTATATTAATAGGTATACTTATGCAAAAAATAGCAGTGCCACAAAAATTTGCTACAATTTTTCCTCTTTAATTTTTTTTTTTGGTGATCTTTGATCAGTTATTACACACTGTGTTTTACCTCACTGATCCAATGTGTTCCCAGAAGCTGCGTAATCAACCACACTGCACGCAGCTGTAGTAACATGGTGCGTATCGAAGTATGACCAAAAAAAAAAAAGAAATATTCGCACCACAAATTTATTCTCTCTTATCGTCGCCATTCAACAATGTTTTGTTTTTTTGCCACTGTGTTTCACAATTCAGAACAATAAATGGTTGCTGCTTCTGCTGGACAGTTTTTGCCACCGATGATTTTTCGCATTGCATACTTAATAAATAGCAACGTGCACCGGACTAGCCGGTGCGATCATGCGTTTTGCGCAGTTCAACCATCGAACGATTGCCTATTAATGATTTTCACTGCTTTGTACTTTTGTCTATGCAAAAATAGTTCAACAGTTGGAAAATAGTTAAAAAATTCACGCACCTGCGCATGAAAGCTGAATTCGGAACCTTGAAGGGTGAATATCTTCCTGTGATTCCCGAGTTAATAGTTTACCCGCCAAAATTTTCACGAGGTCGTAGGTGGTAATTAAGAGCGCGGGAACGCTGAGTTTGAATAGGCAAGATTGAGCGTGGGCATTACCCTAAAATTCCAGTCTCCCGGACTCCGTGGTTCCCGAGATATTAATTTACCCGTAAAAAACTTTCACGGCGCCATACATGTTACCCGCAGGTACGGGGAAGCTGAATTTGAATTTGCGGTGTCACATGTGGATGGGGAACGTTCTAAATTTTCAGCTTCCTAGCTTTTGTAGTTCCCAAGTTGAAAGTTGCGGACAAGTTGCTGAGGACACAAACACACACAGACAACCTCGTGACAATAATGCGTTTTGTAACGCTGTTACACAGCGCAAGACGCATAAAAAGTGTTGAGTATGTGTGAGCGAGTTGTGCTGTGCTTGAAAGAAACTCAAAATTTGAGATTAAAATTCATAGTGCAATATTCCTCTGCGAACTTTGTTGAAATATTACATGAGTTGGAGTAACATGTAACAAATTTGGCATTTTTTTTTTTTCTGAAGGTGACCCAGTACACACATGTATAAATAAATGCATATGCACACGCAAACATACACGGACATGCACACCATGGGTCGTCACAGTATGCGTTTTTGCATTTGCATGCAG